AACCCACCTCACAAGTGTCACCTGAAATGAGTGGGTGTAATAATGGTCAAAGCCATTTTAATCCCAAGGGGTTTGCTCGGTAGCATCGGGACAGCTGCAGTTGGACTTCCAGCCTTTGTGTTTTCTGAACCAGAACCACGGGGCCTTTTGTTTGTTTCCTGGGGTAAAGCCCACGTCCATTTCCAGTTGATGGTGTGTTGGTGGGACAGTCCTGTCACCTGATGCATACTAACGGAAACAGCAAAAATCACATCTCCCCGTAGACGACATGATTAAAAGAAACCCCCGAACTCTTCACAATTTACGTTCTTGCCAACCCTTAGTTATGTTAAGAAATTCCTTGCTTTAGTGAATGATGCAGTTACTAATGGATTCTGTTGCAGCTAAAACAGACAGTTTCTGAGTGAACTCTCAAACTCCAAGAGCTACTCTTCCATTAAATCCAAAGAGTTAGTAGTAGCTAATGATCATTACAAACACAGCATGAAGCAATTGTGTTCTCTTCTCCCCAGTTAATCACAGGACTATTTCCAGCTTCAAATAAAAAAGTATTTTTAAAATGATTGCTGTTTCGCTGTTAATGACATTGTACAGCTACAACCATCTGAATATTCTTGTGTGTTTATCAGTACCTCATTGAAGGAAAGGTTGTACGATTGCAGTTCATGTGAGGAATATGTTCTGCTGCTGCACTGTTGAGGAGTATTTTTTTGTTACGAAAATTTTTGGCATAAGGCAAAACAGAAAGAATTTTAAGATCATTCTTGTAATGACAAAAGCAGGAGGAAGAGCAGGTGGTACACAGTCATGCCCAGTTAGCAGTTATTTAAATTACAAGTTCCAGAATAGGGAAAATGTTGCAGACAATGTTGTGTGCACATTCTGCAGCTAGGCTCATATTTTCATCCAGGCTTGGAAAGGGGTGTGGATACTCACTTCCTGCATTGTTTTCCTTGTTCATGCAAATTCTGTTCACTTGGCTTCATCCAAGCTTATGTACTTACAAAAAACCAAAAAAAAACACCACAAATTTTGTAGCACTGCTTGATCATATACTGTTTGTAGACATTTTGTCATTTTGGTTTGTGCTTCTGTAAGAGGTGTAAGTAATTACTGAAGTACTTTGAATTAAAACGTGACCTTAAGGAGAAAACGTCACGCAAACACTGAGCTAGACTGGTGCCCACGTTCTTTGAGCTGCTCACCTTCAGCAAGGTGCCAGAGCTCTGAGCTGCCAAGGGAGGTGCTGCTGCCCGATGTCAGCCTCTTCTGAAACGTGGAAAGGTGCGTTGGTGAGAGATGCTCATCGGATGTAACTACGGGTTAAAGACAAGACTCATTCGAGTAAAGAGAAAACCACCACTTTGGATATTAAAAATGCTGTAAAAGCACATGATAACGGTGTCTACAAGTAAAACACAGAAGCAAACCTTGAATGTGTCATATTGCAGCTTTAACCTTTCAGTCCATTCAAATGTCTTTTTCTAGATTCTTGACATTGTAAACGTAGAGGAAGCTGCTGATGGCCCATCACAAAGGAAGGCAAGTTATTTCAAAAGGCAACATGTGCAGAAAAATCATAGAATCATAGAATGGTTAGGGTTGGAAGGGACCTCAAAGATCATCCAGTTCCAACCCCCTGCCATGGACAGGGACACCCTCCACTACACCAGGTTGCCCAAAGCCTCATCCAACCTGGCCTTGAACACTTCCAGGGATGGGGCATCCACAGCTTCTCTGGGCAACCTGTTCCAGTGCCTCACCACCCTCTGAGGTGAGGCAAATAATTTTGTCTTAAAGTTCTCACAACTCGGGCGATACTCCTGAATCATCTGATACTTTGAAGTAGGGCTGGACTTTCTGATAGCTTTTGTTAGGGGGACTTCTGTGAACATTTCTGAGAAGCCTTCAGTAGCTGAGGCACACGCTGGGGGTACAGTGGGGGAAGAAGACAGCCCAACGAGTGGCTGGGGCT